TTTTTGTTTAAAGAATATTCTAAAATTGTTTTAGAAGAATGGTTCTCAAAGAGTCAGCTTACAGTTTGTCTCTCATGATCTTAAGTTTCTTCGATTCAATTTAAATTGTCATCTGGTGAGTTTTTTGGTTTTGGTTTTGGTTTTTTTAAACCAGGCATAAATTTCAACCTTGAGAGTCAAGTTACTTCGCTTTGAAAATAACTGGTTTATTGAAGCTTAAATATTATAACCAAAATAAAAGAAAAAAAAAAAATTACATTTATTTCTGCTTGCAGTAATGGTTGATAGATTTTAAGTGACAAATCATCTTATAGATTGGTCATTTTTTTTTTTTTTTTTTGTTTAGATTTCAAATTGATAGCATCATACAATAATTAACAAATTAGCAATTTTTTATGGTTTCATAAGTTTAATTTTTTTTTTTTTTGTCTCGACTTTGAATGTTTCTTTTCTCATTCAATTTAAATAGTGAAATTGACTTTGCTTTTTATTTTAATCAGCTCTTTGGAAAGGTTTGATGTTTTGCAAGACATATACGCAAGGTCACTTGTTGATGGTTAAAAAAAAAACAGTTAAAAAATGCTCTTGCAGAATTATTTATTTTTCTGTTTTCTTTAATTAGTAAATTCTTTGAATTTTTGCTGAAGATCTCTCTCAATGGCTTGTAAGATGATTTAGTTGACCCCTCCCCCAACTGAGTCAGGTTGTGACACGAGGTCGGTTTTTAATGTGGGACCTGAGTTTCCACTCAGGACTCTCTAAGACCAGTGGCCTAACTTGTCAGAGCTTGTCTAAGCTAGTCATACCTAATGATAAACCCCTGACCTCTGCCAGGTAAATACCCTCAATGGCTTGTAAGATCTGTAAACTAAGGCCCTCATCTATTGATTGATCTTGTCTTTGTTCATCAACACCAGCGAATCTGAATTGGGCAGAATATTGAACCAAAATGGAAAATTTAGTTAATATGAAAATACAAATAGTGATGGAATTAGGAATTTCCTGAATGAAACCAAGTTACAGAATTGAAAGAAAAATGTTTCAAAGATTTGGATGTTGTCTCTTTTAATTTAATTTTCTTCAGTTGTTAAGAGTGTCAAAACTAATTTATTTTCCAATGCTAAGTATTTTAAAAAAAAAAAAAAAAAAAAATGTTTTGCCAAGTTTCATTTTGAGTCTGATTAAACTGTGATAAAAAGCATTAAAAATAAAATTGCATAAAATTATATATATATATATATATATATATATATATATAAGATCTTCACACAATCATCAATGGTTCTTGTTTTAAACCAATTCTGGGTGAAACATAATTTAGGTTCTTATTTGCCAATAGACTTTTTTTTTTTTTTTTTTTTTCTTGTCTGAAATCACAACCACAGGAAATCTGACCAGAACACAACTTTTGACCATTTGTTTGTTTTTCTTTCTTTCTTTTGGCTGGTGTTCAAGCAGAAATTTAAAGACTTAATAAAGAATTGAATTCCAATGACAAGTGTTGGCTTTTTGATTTTGTCAAATTATTTTCAGACTCGATTAGTTTTTGCTTCTGTTTTGTTGGTCTGACCAACAGAAAGCCGGTCAGGTAGCCAAAAGGAAATTCAATAAAAAGAAAAGACAATACTAATGGCATATCCAGCAGTAACTAAGGTAAAAAATAAAAAAAATTACCAAAAGGAGGAGGCAGCTACCAATGGCTAAGTTATCAAGAGAGAGGAAAAATGCTTCACAATGTCACACCTCAAAAGAAACTCCCATGATCATCAGGTGACCAGAATGGCATATATATATATATATGTGTCTTAAGATGTGCTATATTTATGGGATAAAGTGGTCCATATCAGAGATAAAACGTATGTAAAAGTGAACATTCAAGTCAATACTAGATGCAATCGTCCGGTCAGTGGTGCATTGTGGGTAGTCTATTTTAGCAGTTATTTTTACTCTTATATTATAAATACTTGTTACAAAATAAAATCCTTGCATTTGTCTTACTAAAGTCCCTCAGAGGCTGAAATGTGTTGGCTAAGGTAAGTTTTCTTTTTCTGCCTCTTTTTTATTTATTTATATATATATATATATATAGCCAGCATGTCATTATTGAGGCATGTGTAGTTAAATACTATGAACTTTTTTATTTAGTAATCTTTTTTCTTGCAAGTTTTTTTTTATATTTGGGTTTGAGTTGTTGAAAAAAAACTCTAGTCTTGGTGTTTTGCCAAGTGCTTTCAGTTATCATCAACACATCATCATGGCTGTATGTTTCAGTTTGCTAATGAACCAATCCAACAACAACTGCCTAAATACCTAAAATATTATCTATAAAATAAACAACCATATATATATATATATATATATATATATATCTGTGTGTGCATATATAATACAGTATTATATTATTTAGAAGGAATTTGTCAGGTGTGCAGCAACCCTACAACCACACCCAGTCATGGGATTCATGAAGTATTACATAGTCAATAATGGTTAACACAGCAATATATGCTGTTGCTTAGAAAACAAGCTTGGAATTGTACAATTTAGCGTATTAATTGGCTTTGAGCTAAGGAAGATACTCACTCAACTACAGTTTGACCTTTGAAATAGGTTCCCCTTTTCATTTTATGATCATCACATTACTTAGAAAAATAACAATGATAAGGATATTAGTCTGAATGTAAATAATGAAAACTCCTCATCCCAGAAATTCAGACAGAAGGTGATAACAACAATGAAGTTGAGGATATTAGTCTGAAAGTAAGTAAGGATAAAACATTATCTCGGACAAAAAGAATTCGTATGAAGGTGGTTTGTATTATATTTTGAAGATCTTGAACAAAGAAATTATAAAAAAAAAACAAAATTTAATTCTTTATGTAAAATACAAAGAGAAAAAAAAATTTCAAGTCTGAGGAGTGAAAAAGAAGAAAGAATGAAAATTCTGGCCAGAAATCATTCTTCTTCAATTTCTGCATGAGGGAAAACTTCTTTGAGTCGTTTTAATCGCTTTTTTCGAGCTTGTTCTGCTCTTTCCTTTTTCAACCTCAATTTCTCATGGTATAACATGAAATACCGACCGAGGCCTTTCGGGTAAGGTGCATGCATTAACCTGTACCTGTTGTTCATCCACTTTGGAACTGCATACTCTTTCACTGTACGTTGGTATTTCAACCCCATGAAATTGCGCACTGTCCATATTTGGGGCATGATGCTTTTTCCTGTCTCCAGCCGGCTCAAGGCGTCATCGCGCTCTCTCACTATGAATAAAATATTCTGCATACTTTCATCGACTTTATACAAACGCTCGGGGCTGGGCATCAACTCACACTTGCGTTTGTATTCCTCCTCCATTGTCATCAAAGCATTGCGTTCTTTTAATAAAATGTACCTGAAGAAAAAGATATAAAAAAAGGAACAGGCAATAGAAATTTTTTTTTTTTTTAAATTTAGAAATGGTGGACATGGTGCTATCTTTATCTCAGAGTCAAACACAAGGACAAATGTAAAGGCGGCGGCGGCGGTATTAGGGGATGCTAACTTACTTCCCCTATAAAAGGGCAAAAACATAAAATACAATTGAGTTACTTCCTTTGTCCACCAGTTGAACCATGACACTTTTGAATTCAACATGGTGACAAATTGACATGCATGTGGAACTCATGGTTTAAAATCAAAATTAATCCTTGCTGTTCGTAGACAGTAAATGGAATAAATGTTGTTTTATTAAATGTTAAAATACACTTGTCTTTTATTTTTATTCATCCCAACAACCTGGAATATAATGGAGCAGAGGGAAGGTATGTCCTGAGTATTACCTCCTCAATAAACATTGGGGGTGCAGGTGGGAGAGGCAGTACCAAAACCCAAGATGTTATGAAGTTTAGTATTCTGATGACGGCTATCAAAATTTTCAAGTATTTTGGTTCACATAAACAAAAATACTAATATTTTCCAGGTTTTTAATCTTTGCTGTTTGTCGATCAAAATGTTGGGAATAAATTCAATGCAAATGATAAAAAGGCAAAGCTTTCCTTGTGGAAAGGCACAGCTGAAAGGAAAGGTGGTACCATTTGCTACGAACATTTTCTTAACCAGGTACTTGCTGAGGTTTTAGAACCATGAAGACAACAAAAATCTTAAAAGAAGGGGTGGTGTTCTATGGGGGGTAGCACCAAAATTCAAGATCTTTCATGCCATTTTTGGAAGTATTTTGGTGCAAAATAATTCATTAGTGCATTTTCAACTGCCGTGGTCACCATTACCCGCCCCTCCCCCCAAATCTCAAAATTGTGGTTCATGGTGAACCAGTTGCCAGTTGATTTTATACTGGAGATGCTGAGGTTACCCCCATCCTTCCTCTCAGAAGTGAAAGAAGCAGGACCAACAGGGCAGTATAGGTTGTTTGAATTCAGAGTTGTCCTCTTAGACTAGTTGCCATCAAAGGCTATAGAACCCAGTCTGTCCTGCTATTTATCCATAGCTGGGGGGGGGGATAAGAGATGGACTCCTACCTTTCCCAAGGGTATTAGCATATGTGAATGTAATGAATTTGAACTAGTCTCTCCAATTCCTTGATCAGAATCTCTCTCTATTACTCCACCTGTGTATTAAAATACCAAAAATTTCCCATAATTTTCATTTCTCTTGTTTGTCAATCAGAAAGAAAATAAAGAAAAGAAGAATCAAGTGTTTTTTTTTTTTGCTGTAGAAGTTAAACCGTCTCGCTCTTTAATGACATTGCAGTTAGATCAAAGCATCTCTTCTTCAAAATAAACACCCCCCCTTCCAAGTTTAAAGCTTCTTTTTTTTTTCTACAACTTCTGTTATAGGATTGATGGCTTATGATGCCAAATCTTTTTTTACCAAAATTTCAGTGTGGAAAAAGTACAAAAAAGAAGTCACCATTTTAGTCTCATGCCTTGTACTTTTGAAGTGACTCCCCCAAGCCAGGTATTTGATCAAAAGAAAAAAAAAAAATTTAAGTGTGTACCAGGAAATTGGTACATAAGGATTTAGTCAAAATAGGTGACATGCCATTTGGCACTACTTTTTTAGTATTAGGGTACTTACTGAAATTTAAGAACCAAAACGATACCACTCACTGACCCTGGTACTGTTATACTGGAACACACCTATTCTATTGTTAATAGACTCTCCCACCTATAATAAGTAGGAGTAGTAAAAGTAACGAGTCAGTCGCGGAGTTGGTCAGTGAGTCGATATCGGACGACCGTTAGTCGGATATTAAAGTATCAGCCACCACAACTAGATTACTGCATCATTAACTATTATATCAAGTTCCTAACGTTTTGTACATCGAACCTATTTAAGGACCGACTTAGTGAAATACAAGGTTCCACTGTGAAACTACTCTATAACAGGTACCTAACTCGGTATCCCACCACCCCACCCAAGGTCTAAATATTAATTTATTTGCTTGAAAGGTTATCCCAAATACACCAACTTCATAATTAATCTCCATAACACAAGCATACTGGACATGATGAGACAACCAATTAAAAATTCAGGTGATATGTCACTAAAATAATCCCTAAAATATTTTAGCACAAATGTACAAAAATACCGAATTTCCAAACAGGGAAAGTATGATAGTATTCAGGACATCTTGGATTTTGGACATCACCCACTTCCTGAATGAACTGTTTCAGTAAGTGTCACAGGAGGTGGCTGGTAGGACAATATATAAAGAAACCAACAGATACAGAGAGGATTTGGGGTATCACCCACTTATGGAATAAACTGTTCCATTAAGTTACAGATGGTGGCTGGTAGGACAATGTAAAAAAAAAAATTTTTTTTATTTTTTTTTTTAATCATTCTATCTCAAAATGCCATTAAAATGTGATTACAGGAAGTGAAAGGGAATGAGAAGACTTTAATGAGGAAAAAGAACAATAAAAGAAATGATTAAAAAAATATTGGTCACTTATAGCAAAGACTGCTTTATAGATTAGCACAACAAAATCAGAAACAAATAGCTTGACCAAATAGCAAAACCCCACATCACATGAAGATTTCCAACAGCAGTAACAACAAAAATAGATAGCACAAGTCACTGAAAAAGAAAGTAATGACCTAATCAAGGGATTGACTTTCCACACTATCTTAAACAAAATGTTAGGAAGGAAACTCCAATCAATGCATGGAAAAAGTGATAACAGTTATTGGACTTGAGAAATCTATTTTCCTGAAAAAGTGTTTTAAAAGAAAGATTTTTATTAATTTCAACCAAAACTGACACTAATTGTTTGATGAATGAATGCCAAATGTTTCCTGCAGATAAATGACTCATTTCACGATTACACTATACAGTTTATGTTGTATCATTTCAGCATCTGAATCAACAAGGGAGTTTTGTGGGAGAGAAAGACGTACCACAATTTGTGAAGATCTTGATTGCTTTTTATCCTCAGTTCTTCAAGACGCCATGGACGCCCTAGACAATAAAGAAAATAAAAAATTAGAAAAAGCATGAGGTCTATGTATAAATCAAACAAATACTTATTAATCATAATCAACAGTATCAAAGCCATATATATATATATATATATATATATATATAAATAAGGCAAAATGCAGGTGTGTGTGTGTGTGTGTGTGTGTAATGAATGCACAACCACAATTTTCAACGGATTTGCACCAAAATTTACATGCACATGCTCCAAGTTAGCGGGAAGGTCATGACCAACTTTGCATTTCCCAACTCCCATTGATAGTGGAAATAATTGATTTTTTCATGCTTCTACAGCAGTTTTCATGTAGTTTGCGGTCATTTTCTACTTTCCAGAGTGAGAGCCTATAGCTGGCTGCCACGAATAGGCAGGAAGATAGGAAGATTCTAGTGGCCAGCATGAGAGCCAACAACTGACTGACACAAATGTTAACTAGCATGCAAAAAAAAAAAAAAAAATCGATAGCTGCATTCAGAACAAGTGGGAAAAATTTAAATCTGCATGGCACTTTACTCCAAATGGCTCATTCGCTTGCTTAAACTCAACGTTGATTTTGATTCCGCAGAACTGGGTTGGGTGTGAAAAAGTATTTGTTAACATTCTTTTTCATTTTTTTTTCCAGTTACAAGTCCTTTTTTAAAGCTGATCGTTTTTGTTCATTTTGTTTAGTTCTTTTTTCGTAACAGATTTAATGTTTAGTATAGAGCTTAGAAAAAAATTTGCAGTGTGAGATAGGCAAGAAGTAAGGCATGTAGCAACATCAGCATGGCAAAGGGCACTCCTTTAAAGGCAAGGAGGGGCAAAAATATTTTAAGTCAAGTGATAGCGATTGCTGTATGAGTCGTATGATTTTTTTGAATCAAGCATGGGCAATGCTGCTATATATATATATATATATATATATATATATATATATATATATATATATATATATGATAGATAGATATATAAAACATGAATAAAAATAAGTAGCTCATAAAAAGAGTCTGCTGGGAATGACCACCAGAAAGAAAAAGTGCTCAACACCATATAAAATGACAGAGCTCTTCTAAATTATGAATTAAATTTCACCGCCTGATGATTGCATAAAATCATGAAACTTAGTGAAATGGTCAGACATTGTACATCTGAAATTTAATTTGTAATATACATAATAATAAAAAAGTTGGTCAGAGTTGAATTAGACCAGAAAATAGCAGTATTAAAAGGTGCTCAATTCACATCTAAAAAGATAAAAATTATGTAGAGCTATATATATATATATATATATATATATATATATATATATATATAAATATAAGGTTGGTATAGATGGAATAAAATTCCAGTAACCAAAAACACTATTTAAAAGTGCAACAGAAAGTAAAGTGAATAATATTTATTTAAAAATTATAACATAAATATGTTATAACATGTATTAACATATTTTGATTCACATTATATTTCTTTGTCTCAAATGCTACCTGAATTTTACCAAAAACAAAATAATTTCCATGCCTGAAGATGACTAAAATTTACAGTCGAAAGTATTTTATCATATAAAAGAAAGACCTTATACATATTTATAATTCAAAAAAACAAGGATCAGAACATTCAAGTGATTGGTAGGTCAATGCATCTTTAAAATTTTGGTAGAAAATGGATTTTGCCATTTTATATCATTAATTTTACTAATTTATAATTTTTGTATGAATGATTCATTGTTTTATATATATATATATATATATAAAATACATATTGAAGAAATATTTACTAATTTCATTTTTGTGATATTATTATAACATTGTTTTTATAATCTTGTAAGTCCCCCTGCTTCTGAAAGATATTGAGTTCACTCTTCAATTTGCTCAAACATTTCCAGTGGTTTAATCGAGTCATTATGAATCCTGCTGATCTATTGTTTGAGAAATAGTCACTTTCATGTGAATCTAAAACATTTTCAGAACCAAAGAAATTTTCAAAGATGGAAGTGAATCCAAATAAAACTTACCACACTTCACCGACTGTTTGTTCCAGTTTTCTTTAGCATCAAAGAATTCCATCAAATCCTGACAGTAGTTTGTTCTATGGAATTGTCTGTCATGTCTCTGTACATGTGGGATTCTTGGGATAGCAAAATGGAAAAAATTTCAATCAACTTTTTGGAAACACAGAAAACATTTCAATGAAAATTGAGAAAGTCTTATGGTTAGTGATAAAATGGAAGAAACATTTAGAGAATTGTGAACAGTTTGTTAATGAAAGATAATTTAAGCAGATGAAGCCAAATTCTTTGGTAATCATCTGACAAAATTAAACTCATTAAAGACAATTTTTGTAAATGGAACCAAATTCTTTAATCATCATGTTTTTCTTTAAATATTTTATTTTTTTTATTTTTCAGACTATTGTTTATTTTGTCACCATACAATATTAATTACGTTTCATCAAAACGTTTAAAATCCTTCTTTTCAATTTTTTTTGTTTTAAATGATAAATAATCATTTAGATCTTGCTAGTTCAATTATAACATGTTTAATGGATAACATTTTTAGTTATATTGTTAATTTTTAATCCTCCAAAATTTTTTATTTGAATTCTATATTGAACTAAAACTCTTTGGGTCCTGCTAATGATCTTTTTAATATTTAATATGAGTGTGAGTTCAAATACCTGGTTAAGGAAAATTGGAGAATTGGAACCTAAAATTAAATAGGAGATAACTGAAAAATAACCTTTGTCTTTTAATTCGTTATTTATTTTTAGATAAAAAAATGGCATAAAAAAAAAATTAATTTCTTTTAAATTTGATATAAATAAAGGGTTTTAATTTAAATTCCAACCACCTTGAAGACATTGTAAAAAATATAATAACAAAGATGAGGACAATAGTCCAAATGATGTAAATGTTTTACATATTAATTCATTTCAGAAATATAGACAGATACTGAAGAATTCGAAAATGTTGTAATAAATATGAATAACAAAGATGAAGACAATAAATCCAATAATTTAAATTTTGTACATAACTCATCTCAGAAATATAGACAGATATTGAAGGGCCGAAATGTTGTAATATGGTGACAAAGATTAGGACAATAACCTGAATAATGTAAATAATGTACATAATACCTCATCTCAGAAATATAGACAAAATTAACTTTATAAAAAACAAATTTTTAGTTTCCAAAATATCCAAGGCACAAAGATGAAGAGAATTTCACACAAAACTGAAACCTTGTATGAATTCCAAAAACAATTCAAAATAATCATTTACAAGGGTCGTTGAAAAGTTATCAGACCAACGCACTTCCTAAAAACAGTATTTCCATGACCAAACATTAGAATTTTTGAAGAAACTTGAGAACAAATATGCCAAGTATGCTGAACTGTGAAGTTACCATGTAGAATTGCATGTGTGTCAGTGTTAACACTGTCATTATGCAGACTAAATCTCTCTTAGTTAAAACTGTTTGGTAATGTTTAATCTTTGTGCCTGACAAAAACAAAAAATATATAGGAAACAGATAGGCAAGATAAAATCCTTAACTTATACTGAATCATCCAAAATGTTTGACAATGTACTCATCAAACCATTTCCAGAATAGTTTTATCTTTTCTAAGCTCTGTAATTATCAACCCATGGCTTTATCCATCAAATCAGACTCATGATTCCTTTTAAAGCATTTACAATGTGGCTATCAATTTGAGACTTTGAAATTCAGTACAAAATGGCAGCTGTTCATTTACATCAGTGCAGCTAGGCGTTGCTATTAATCAGCCAATAAACATTTAGATTCCAATAATTGATAGAATAATGAATAGGAAACATTTACAAATCTAACAATCTCTTTTGTTAAAGCTTCATCAGAGAATGATATATGGTGAAAAAGAAAGGAAAAGAAAAAATTCTGGTATTTTTAATTTTTATGTTTGTTTTTCATTCGTTATTGATTGATTCATTTTCTGCGGCTTATTGACCCTTTGCAGGTTATTTAAAGCCAGAAAATATTTTTAGGATATAAGAATTTATTTTTTGAGATGATAATGATTTAGGCTTACAAGTTTTACTAATTAACCCATAGCTAGGGGGAGAAGAGGTGGATTCATACCTTTCTTGCATATAAGTGAATGTAATGAACCCAACTAGAATTTGGATCTACGATTAACAATTCTGAGCTGTTATCCATTATACCACCTGCACATCCCAATTTACATCACCTGGTATTCCCAAGTGGTCACCCATGTAAGTACTGACTATCTTTGACATTGCTTAACTTCAGTGATTGTACAGTAAGTTCATTGATTAAGCAAACTTCATATGTCTTGTCAAACAGCGTTTGTGTGTATAGTTTATATGTTTAAGTATCATAATTCTAGTTTCTCTATGCAGGGTTCAAATGATAATGTGTGTGTGTGTGTGGTAGACATTTTTTTATTTACGTTTTGTGGTTGTCCACATGGTGATTTAGGGACATTTTGTGTGACATTCAGAAAGTTTACATAATACCATTTGTTGTAGTAGTAGTAGTACTAAGTAGATATTTCAATAAGTATTTATTTTATATGAATCAATAAAACATGAAGGTTGCCTGTAGAGACGAAGTGCCTGTAAGTTTGTACAGAAAGCAATAAAACTTGCAAACATAATCATCTCGATTCTAAATAAGAAAAGCCCAATATTGAAAGAATCTGAGATTCTCAATAAAAAGATGTCTGCAAATGCTGAATTAATTTCTAAAATTAGTGCCACAAAGGAATGTCACACCAAATGTTTGATCAGAATCAATGCCACAATACCTAAAAATTTCATAGCTTCACAAAGACGACTTTTCTATTGCTACATTACTCAAATTGGTGAAATAAATTCCTCAGCTTGTCTTTTCAGATTTGCATCCAAGTTGTTAAGGAATTACAATAAACTTCTTCAGTTCAGTGCGACCTGCCGACCATTTTTGTAATTTCAAACAATTTTTTTTACATTTTGAAAACTCTAAGGCTTCCTTTGTCCATTAAAAAAACAATTGATAAAATACAAAAAAAGAATCTGCAATTTTATCAGTTCTGAACTGGCATCTTGGCTTCAGTCACTTACCCCTCATCATAACATATCTTTCCTGCAGCCTTCCTATAAATACTTGCATGACAATTCTTCTGCTGAGCTTTCCTCTTTAGAACCTTTACAAATTTAAGCATAATACTAGATTGGTAACAAGGTCTCATCAATTTACAGTTGAATTGTCTAGATGTAACCGTAAGTTCTATGCTAGCAGTTTCTTCTCTCACACTTGTGGAACTCTCTTGCGGTTTCTTGCATTTCAGTCAACTTTGATCTTCAAAAATTTAAATTTCAATGTCAATCATTATCTTCTGTTGTCTTAATTTCTATTCTTTTATTGTTCTCTTTCCTTAATAATGTTTTCTTTTTCTCATATTCTTACACCCTCCCCCCACCTTGTATGTTTGTGACTTTATTGCTTTACTTGGGGTGAACTGATAAAAAAAAAATAATTCAATCTCATGGCATTTAACAGTTTTTAACTTGCAACCTGACTATTAATTTGAGACTTGGAAACTAAAAACATTTAGCAAACATGGCAAAATGTGACCGCAATAAGAGGGTGTGTCAAAAGGACTGTTTTACCCTTGACACCACTTTTTTTTAACTACCTTCACTCCTCAGAAATGTTTATTAATGTAAAAAAGCAATGATTAGAATTGTAATAAAACCTAAACATATGATGAAAGTGAATTTGTACATTTTTTTTTTATTCTTAAGAATTTACAACAAAAACATTAAACACTATTAGATTATTAAAAGAATAATTTTATATTTACAATATTCTAAAAACTAATAAAATTAAAACTAATGCAATGCAATATTTATCATTTAGCAATTTTAAAAAATAAATATGAAAACAATTTTTTATTCATAAATTTATGAACATTTACTAAATTATTAAAATATGTGAACCAACTATAAGGAAATCCTTATTATTTACCATTTTATAACATTTGAATCAATTGGCAATAAAAATTCCATTCCATTCCAATAAACAATAGTGTAAATAAACAATCTACTAAGAAAATAGTGTTTTTATTTTTAGTAAATTCTCAAAAATAAAGAAAATGTATAAATTCAAATTCAATGCTTAGGTTTTATCATTTAATCATCAATTTATAAAAAAACACTGCCAAAAAGTGAAGGTTTTAAATTAAAAAATTCAATGGAAAACATTTACTTTTTTTTTTAAATTCTGTCTTATTGCAAAAACATTTTTCCATGTTTACCAAATATTTTATCAAAATGACATTTGTTTACATCTGTGCAGAATGAACAGGCTTTCATTGTAACTGTGCAGATGCTAACATCATTCAGTAATTAATCCTTTAGAATTAAATTTCTAATTGTAATTATTTACACTACATCATTCAGACTATTATTATTTTATTGACATATTCACAAGCTTCAACCAGAAAATGCTTCAGCCTTCTTCAGGATCTGTCTATATTTAACTGCCTAGATGAGGTATTGTAACTGTTTACACTACATCATTTTAGACTGTTATCCTCAGCTTTATTTCTATATTCACAATGCTTCGGCCTTCTTCAGGTGATATACATTGGAATTTTAAACTGAACTCTTTATTTAGTCAACAGGAGGTAGTTTGTGCAAATTCCATGTGCCATACCTTTTTGGGATATCTCAGTTTCAGTTGATTCCCCCTGGCAACTCAACTCTCCAAAGTGTTGGTTAAGTGATCCAAAAGTGACTTGACCCAAAGAGTTGCAAGTTGCTGGCCACAGCAGAGGAAAGAAAAACTTGGAGATTTGAGTTACTAAAAAGAATTAACTGAAATTGAGTTAATGGCATGTGGAATTAGAACACTCTACACTCATGGATTAAATAAAGGGTTTGGTTTGAAATTCCAATGTCTATCACCTGAAGAAGGCCAGAGCGTACAACAGCCAAAATGTTGTGAATATGGCAATAAAGATGAGGACAACAGTCTGAACAATGTAAATAGTATAAATATTTTTGTTTTATCTATAAATAAAATATCAAGTTTTTAATAATGTGAGGCTCAGTGCTGACATAATTTTATGCATAATGACTACCATGT